GTAGTCTTCAACAGATGGTGTCGGACAGTTGGATATCTCTATGCAAAAGAATGAAATCGGGCCCCCTGCCTCTTACCATCTCTAAAAATTAAGTTGAGCCTTAATAAGGGCTAAAGCATTAAAAAAAAAAAAAAAAGAAGTCTTTGTGATATTGGATTAGGCAATAGTTTCTTAGATATGACAGCAAAAGCACATGCAACACAGGAAAACATGGATAAATTGGACTTTATCAAAGGGATTACAGGATGAATTATTAAATTCTGTACTGTTTAAATACATATTTCCAGCTAATGCTGTATCTGGAATTTCTTAATGATGATTTTTGCCTTTTCTATACCATATAGCACAATGCCTTTTATATAGTAGGAACTATTTAAATATTTGTGATTTAATGATTTTAGTTAAAGAAATGCATTTAATTGTTTTGTGTCTAATAAACTACTTAAGTTCAGATCTTCTTAAAAAAGTAAGTTTTGATAATAGCTTTACTGAGATATAATTCACATACCGTACACTTCACCATTTAAAGTATACAATTCATTGATTTTTAGTGTAGTCATAGCTGTGCAACTGTCAGTTTTAGAACATTTTCCTCACCACAGAAATTCCTGTACCCTTTAGCAGTCACTTCCCCCCTTTTATTCCCCAGCCCCAGGGAACTTTTAATCTACTTTTCGCCTGCATAGATTGCCTGTTCCGGACGTTCGTATAAATGAAATTATGTAGCATGTGGTCTTTTGTGACTGGTTGCTTTCATTTAGCACATAACGTTTTCAAGATTTGTCCATGCTTTAGCATGTACACATTTTTAGCATGTACACATTTTTTAGCATGAAGAATGTACTGCATTCCTTTCTAATTTTAATATTCACTGTATGTATATATACCACATTTTGTTTATCCTGTCATCTGTTGGTTGACTTTTTGGTGGTTTCTACCTTTTGGCTATTTTGAATTGTACTGCAGTGAACTCATGTACAGGTTTTTGTTTGAATACCGTTTTTAGTTCATATGGATTTATATGTAGGAGTTGAATTACTGGGTCAGATGGTAATTCTCTATGTAACCTTTTGAGGAACTGCCTGATTGCTTTTCACAGTGGCTGCATAATTTTACTTTCGTAAAGTGTATAAGGGTTCTAGTTTCTTTACATACTCATCTACACTTCTCTGTTTTGTACGTCGGTTTGCAATTATCTTTTTGCATATGGGTTTTCCAGTCTTTGGGGTAAATACCCAGTAGAGGGATTGCTGGATCATATGGTAGATCAATTCTTATTTTTTTGAGGAACTTCCATACTGTTTTGCATAGTGGCTGTACCAATTTGCAGTCCTACCAGCAGTGGATGAGGATTCCTATTTCTCTGTATCCTCTCCAGCATTTGTTATTACTTGTCCTGTTGATTACAGCTATTCTAACAGGGGTGAGATGGTGTCTCATTGTGGTTTTCAGTTGCATTTCCCTAACAGCTAGTGATGTCGAACATCTTTTCAGATGTTTGTTGGCCATTTGTATGTCCTCTAGGGAGAAGTGTCTGTTCAGGTCCTCTGCCCATTTTTTGATTGGATCGTTTGTTTTTTGTTGTTGTTGTTGTTATTGAGTCATATGAGTTCTTCGTATATTTTGGATATTAGGCCCTTATCAGAGGTGTTGCTTGCAAATATATTTTCCCATTTGGATGGTTGTCTCTTTACCTTGTTGATGACTGATTTATCCATTTTTATAGTGTTTGAGACGTTCAAGCTGGTTATATACCTTTATAAGAAAAAAAATTTTTTTATAGACTAGATTTTGAGTTGTGCATCTAATGAGAAGTTTTAAAATTTCAAATAGAGCAATTTACTGTAGCTTGCTTCCTTTGCTTAAAAACCAGTTTGTGATAGGCAGTTATTGTGCTGATGGGTCTAAAGATAGATGAACAATGTAAGGTAGCTCAGACTTTTGTAGAGATTAAAATGCTATAAAAATTTAATTTTTTGGAATTATTCATAAATTTTAGTATGGTACTTCCAGAAAAATGTGCTTACATGATTATTTTAGCAGTTTAGCTAAAATGCCGGGTATTCGGCACTTTAAAACCTGATATTCAAAATTCCTTTGAGTTGACAACTTTGAGTTCTAAAACTTGATTATTTTAGTAGTTTTGGGTAGAAATCTGTCTATAAGATGGAGTATACGATTCTCTGCCTTCTTAAATATACCTAACATACCTTGATTGCACAAGTTTAAATTTAAAAATCAGCGTTAAAGATGTAGTCATGTTTTAAGATGTAAAGATGTGTGATGTAATGCTGAAATACTATTGTCTTTTTTGAGTTCTCGTCTTTTTTTTCAAAGAATGAGAAAATTTTGTTCATTATCATTTGATAATAGTTGTTTAAGCAGATTCAGCTATATCATTTTTCTTCTTTGTACTTAGATTTAAAAGCTGTCTGAATTTGTTACTTGAAGACTTAAGTTTCGAAGTCTATAAAGTACTTATTTTTTCCAATGTCTCAGAGTTATTTATCTTTTTATTTTGTCCAGTTATAGTCTAAGGGAATCATAAATGTAAAAAATATTTTCTCCTGGGATTTAAAAAAAAAAAAAGCTTCTCACCCCTTTCACATTCAGAAGGGGATAATTGTTCAGAATAGTCAATTATACTTACCTCCCCCCAAAACACCTCAGTTTGTCTTTTGTTCATGTTGAATTTCATACCATACACTTTTTGGGGGGACAGACTTGACTACTTAGCCCATTAATAGCAAGCATGACTCTGGGGCAAGCATGACTACCCAGCAGCATGAGGACTTTAACTGGTGCCTGCTCTACCTGTTTATGTGCTGTTCGTTAGATTAGCTCTCAGAGAAAGAGAGCAGATGGGACACTTTCCTGGATGTCACTGCTTTTGATATACGTGTCTTTTTGGCTTTTGATGTAGCATGTACAGATCTCTAAAAAATGACCACAGGATGTGGGCATGGAAATTCAGTGTTTTAGATTCAAACTCAGATTTAGATTTTCAGGCATCTTCATCGACAATTTGTTAATCACATATTTAATTTTGAACTTTATTCTTTCATAGCAGGGTTTTGAGGTCTGTACTTTGGTACATGGCTTTCCAGCTGGATCTGCCTGTGTGTGTGCATGCCCAGGTGCACACACATGCAGACTCACATGTTCATATGTATTAAACATATAATTATTGTATATCATGTTGTCAAAGAAGATTTTGTCTTGCAAATTATCGTTACATGAGAATAATAGGAAAAATGATGCAGTGTTAAAATTTTTATGGAATAAAAACTCAAAGTCACCTACATGTCGGTTCAAAAACACCCTGTTGGTCTCCGCCTCATTCACACGCACAGGCGCAGTGTGTCCTCTCCACTTCGTGCTGCTGTTTATGTCAAGACGACTTAATCCATAGTGAAATCCTCAATAAAAGTTTTCTTTGTGAAGACTCAATTAAATGACAGTAGAAGTAAACATTTAAAAAATGTAATCTTATATTATTTATTCTGCTTGAGTGAATTAAAGAACTTACGTTGTTCCACTGTTCTCAAAAGCTGAAAAATTGTTTTTTTGCTAGGAAGATGAGAACGTGCCCACTGCTCCTGATCCTCCAAGCAAGCATTTACACGGGCATGGAACAGGCTTTTGCTTTGATTCCAGGTAATTTTTTTCTTGTGTAGAATTTAAATTACATAGACCAATGATTCTCAGAGTTTTTGGTCCCTGGATCAGGACCCCTACCTAGTACTTTCAGAACCCGAAACTCTTGGTGTGGGGCCTAGCGTGGTGTGCCTGAACATGCCCTCCAGGTGATTCTGATGCATGAAGTCTTTGAGAACCAGTGCTATAAACAAACACCCTTAGTTGTTAAACCGAAAGGACACTTGGGAAATTATAAGTTGTATTAATTTTTATAGGTTTACAAGTAATCTTTGTTATTTAATTGAAGAATTCTTGTTACTAGCCTCATTTCACATAATGTAATGGTTTTTTGGAGATTTTAATGAAAAAAGGTTTTTCTTTGCCAATCTAATTGTAAATTCAGAGGCTTCTGTAAATGGTTTACACAGTTGTCAGTAGCAACAAGCATTTGGCAGCAGAAAAAGATTTCTGGGGTAGCCGAAGACTTTGATGGTAAGTTAAGTGTGAATATTAGCTTAATTAGTAAATGTAACCTTGTCATATCCTGAAGACTGTTAGAAATTTATTAGAAATATGTAATTCTTTCATTTTTCTATTTCTTCAAGCTTTGATGTTCACAAGAAGTGTCCCCTCTGTGAATTGATGTTCCCTCCCAACTATGACCAGAGCAAGTTTGAAGAGCACGTTGAAAGCCACTGGAAGGTGTGCCCCATGTGCAGCGAGCAGTTCCCTCCCGACTATCTCCAGCATGAATTTGAGAGTCACGTGCAGACCCACTTTGATCAGAATGTTTTAAATTTTGACTAGTTACTTTTTATTGTGAGTTAATTATACAGGCAGTTTCAAACAAATCCTCTCCAGTAGACCACTGAGGAGACCACCGATAATCACGCTGACGCTCCCTCCACCGACCGCACTTTTCTGACCAAGAGCTACTTTGATTTTGGTGTTACTAGGTTCAGGGTCAGTCTTTGGCTTATCAATAACTATAACGTTAACCTCTTTAAATCTTACCTGCTTAAGAAGTTCTTGTGTGTTTGTATCTTCCCCAGTTTGCAAAATTATATGACTAAAGGAAACAGGGATTATTTTAATGTTACTGCACTGAAAAAATATGTATTGTGTGTTATGTAGCAGAATATTTACAAGTTTCTGTTGACCTTGTTGATTGAGCATGACTACTAAATATTATGTAATAAAAAGAATTTATCATAAGTCTTGCAAAGTAATTCATTGAATACAGAAACTTGCATAATTTAGCCCATGAAATGTTTTTTTTAACCCTCTTTAGAAATGGAGCTGTATGTAGAATGAGATGTTTGCAGTATAGTAAATATCATTTTCAAATTTGAAATGTTTGCATTAGGAATTAATGGAAGACATATTTTGCTAATTTTATGACTAATTTTTTTAGAATAACCTGAATGATTATATTTAAGCCATCTTAAAGTTGTATTTCTATCTAATGGGAAAATGGAACAAGATAGGTGAGTGCAATTCTTTCATATTAAATGATCTCCTAAACTGGTGTTTGTGGTACAAAATCACAGAAAATGTATCCGTATCTTTTTCACATTTTTCCTGATGAGTATGACTTTGAAATAACATTTTCAGTAAGTGATTAAAAATGTAATGTCAGCTCAAATCAAAGTAATGTCTTTGTCTCTGCTGTGTATAGTATTCTCATTAACATTAAAAAGGACACAGTTTGGAGGTAATTTCATTGTCAAATTTATTTGTGATGGTTTTTCATTAAGTAGCATCATGAACATGTTTTCATCTGTCTTTTTAAAAGTTTCTGAACTGTATTCTTTTCTTTTATAATATGAATGTTAAGTTACTTGATTCTACTGCTTTTGTAGTTATGAAAATATTTAAGCCTGTCCTAAGCAAACTAGCTATTTAAGATGTTAAACTAATATTCAGTGTGGTGGCATTTTGGGATGCTACGTATGAACTACATTATACATCATGTGCTTGTATTTGTTTATAGGAGCAGGATCTGTATATTGTTGGAATCCTTTGAGAGAAGGTTTTTGAGTCTAGGGAAAACAGTATTAGGCAGTCAGATGCCAGCGGTTAGGACATAGCAGACCTGGGGGCAAGTCATACCAGATAGGTTACATGACAAGCAGAATATATTCAGGTAAAATATAGTCTGCGACAGGAGCATTTTTGATGCATTAATAATTATGGACGATGCTAACTTAAAACCTTACAATATTATAGTGCTGCTATTGTTCCTCATTAGTCTAAACCTTGAGTCGTTTTTGGCCCTAAGCTATAATTACTTTCCTTTAATCTTCAATTTATTTTGGTGTTTTTTAGTTATCTTTTTTGTAATGATTTCAAAATAGGTTTAATTCCACTGTGGTCTGAGAAAATGCTTTGTATGATCTATATTCTTAGGAATTAAAGTGTTTCGTGGCTCATAATGGTCTCGGTGAATGTTCTGTGTGAGCTTGTGTATTCTGCTGCTGGATGAAGATCATAGTTAATTGAGCTGTTGCGTTCAACTAAGTTCTTAAGTGGGTCCGCACATTACTGATAGAGGGTGTTGACATCTCTGAGTAAAATAGTGGATTTATTTCTCATAGTTCTGTCACTCTTTGCCTCCTGTATTTTGATGCCCTGTTAGGCAAAAATTAAGGATTAAACAATGCGGTCTAATCTAAGCAAAACAAATTTAATCTACATGTCAGCTGAATTCTGCAGCATTGAGTGGATATATTAGTTTCTGTGGTAAACTTGATAGTGGCTTTTCATAATGGATGCTAATGAAAATAGAGCCATATTTGTTTATTTTGGGTCAGAGACAGTTTATTTTAAACGTGATTTCATTTACATTTATAAGCAGCTTTTCTTAACAGGAATTTGGATTAAGTTGCCTTCAGTTCTAATACCTCTCGCTTTCAAACTTGATGTGCTCTGTCCCCAACAAAACATATGAAAATATAATTTAAAGCACAATTTTCACAGACACAGTACAATACATTCACTATACACGGTATAACAAAATATCCCCATCCTTACCTGTTTAGTAATACTGTCACAATGAATAAGCAGATAGGAGTTGAATTTGTTTTATAGGTGAAAGAGCAATGTTAACATGCACAATGACTGTTTAGCTGCTGGACTGCTGATCCAGCCTGCAGTTTCCTGCACTAGAAGGAGCGAAGCTAAATAACTGTTGGCCTGAAAAAGTTTTGGTCAGTTATAGGTAGATGTGGAATAGTCAAGTAGGGCCGCCTTATGCACCAACTAGTTGCTACTCGTGTCTGGATCACCCTTTAAATGTACAGGATAGTACTGTATATTCAGAACCAAGACCAGTCTTCAGAGATCTGAGGGAATTTTTACAGGGCAGTGTCTTTATAAATACTTTCAAAGCCCTCATAATGAGGGATTCACAACTTATGAATAGAGAAGCTTACCCATCTGGCTAACAGAACTGTCATCCTTTCAAAGGGTCTGAGAAATCGAGGAGGGACACCTGCTTTCCAACTGTAAGACTTTCATCAAATGGGAACATAGAAGAAATTTTACAAGTGATGAGAGTTTCCTTTTTACCAATTTTGTGAGCAGTTGGCCATCTCAGCAATTTTTATTCCTAATTTGGCAACTGGTAAACTCATGTTTAAGGAATAGCACTTGGGAGAAAAGAACACACTCAAGGCATGATGGTATTGTTGGTGAGAAAAACGTAAGGGATGGTCCAGATGTAGGTTACTCTGATGGGTCACACATTAGTCACTCTTTGATCACTTGCTGCAAGAAAGCACTTAAATTGTCAATAAGGCTCAATTTCATATTTCGGCAAATTGTTTTATAAAGCTAAACAGACATTTCCAGTGGGAATACAGACATCTACAGTGTCATAGGAAAAGGGTTTAAAAAAAAAAGTCTAAAACACAATGAGTGAAAAGAGGCAATAGGGGCCTTAACAAAAATGTTCCTCTTTGAACCGTGCTTGGCATTTTAATTATTTGCAACCCACAGGTTTGTTAGGGCAGTGGTTGTAAGAATTGGCAACACAAAACATTAAATCTGTTGGCAATAGAGAACTACAAAGTGCTTCAAAACTTCACCTAAAGATGAAGATAGAATGATAGAACTAAATTTCACACACGAAATTTGCACGTATTTCAAAGTGTCTCCTAACAGATTTCAAGGGTATTTCACTAAACTGGCATCTCGGTCTACAGATAATAGGCATAAATCAATTCCCTTGCACCCAGCAGGCACTCAATGAATTTGTGTTAATGAGTGAACAGACTATTTTGTACAAAAATGCCATTTATAACGAAAATAATTGGTAAGTCAGATGGCAAGACTTTCAGCGTTTTAAAGGACTTGCAAGATAATATAAAACACAAAGCACAGCTTTTATGTAATTTAAATATGAAAATATTTTAGCATATTGTTAAACATTCTTTCTTAATTTATATTTCCATTACCTAAAGTATTTCTACTCACAGATACTAACTCCGTTATGTAAGGCATGATAACCAGTTTGATGATGAAGTTATTTTGGTTTTGAACATAGTGAGTTGATGTGTTGAAAAACTTCAATCACATTATAATCTTGGGGGGAAAAAACCCTCAGTACCAGCCCCTCCTCCCCCAGTCGATGCCACTGCAGTAGGCCTAAACACATGCAACGTGCCCTCAGTCATATTTTGTTTTGGGGGAAATGTGCTGAAGAACCTAGAGCTTTTTTGTTTAGCACCTTATATCAAAGTAATGAAAATGGGTATGATGATTACATGTGCAAATGTACAAAATCATTAACTCTACAAAGATACATCATTCCAAAATTACAGAAAAAATTTAAAGCATGCATTTAATTCTTTAAAGGGTTGCTGAATGCTTCCCCTGCAAAAAGGTGGCTGTTTTCAAAATCAGCAACTGCTGGTGAGGATTTCTTGGCACAGTTACGACCAGCATGTTACTGCTGCATCTTCCTGATAATCTCAGCCGACACCGGGGGATGGAAATTGATTGTGTGGTGCCGCAGGCCCTGAGCTGTCTTGTAACTCTTACCGCAACGACATTTGAATGGTTTGCGGACACGAATCTGTGTTCTGTGACCATTCTTGGCGTGGTACTTTATGCCATTCACATTCTGTGGAAAAGATAAAAATATCACCGATTAGATGGAGTCATAATGTCTGTCAGACTGGGAAACACTTCAGCGTGCATCTGGGTGGCAGCTGTTTACACGGTGGGCTGTGCACATGGGCTCACGCACACAGCTAACTCAAGGCAATTTCCAATGTGCCTCAATCTGAAAACTGACTTCCAAGTTTTATATAAAATGTTTAAGACTCACTGTGCAGAAGCACAGTTGCCTCTGCCTGGATGTATAGAAATTGACAACTGTGACCGATGCTAATCCCTACCTGACCTAGAATTTTCGTCCATTTTCTATTCTGTGTTAAGTCAGCGTTGCTGCCTCTGTGGGAACAACCTGCCCACAGCACATACCTGTGGACAGACTAGGCCCTGCTTTTATTTAATATTCCAAACGTACAGTGAACTTTTAAAAATCTTCAGATTAGGGAATTCTCAGCATCCGAAGAGTTCTGAACCTCATACTGGCCTGCTGGATTTCCAGTAGTCGGTTTTGCTAGCACAGTGGACGTGAGACTCCATGCCTAGAATCACTCTACGGCTTTAACAAGCTAAACAGTTCCTATTGCGAATCCCAGGTAAAAGCTGAGTTTTAAATAATAAATGGCAGAGGTGATATTAGAGCATAGGTCTGGGAAATTTCCAAGTCAGCTTTTGATGAGGGAGTAACAGGAAAGGCTGGAGACATGCAGTTGTCCTAGTGTTATGTGGCTCTAGCCCCACCGATCCCGGGCCTGTGCCCCAGGAAAGGTGCCAACACCGCTGTCTGCTCTCTCCACAAGGTGGTATGCTTGCTGAGCTCCCTGAGCGCAGGGATGGGCCGTCTGCTGTTTCATGAGCACCTAGCACAGTGTGACATTTCTGAGTGAAATTGTTAGAACATGCTTCACTATTCTGGGAGAAATTGGTTATTACTATTTACTTTCCCGTGAGTCACAGCGCACAGTAATCCTTTAAAAGTCCTAGGGTAGAGAATCCTGCTCGACTTCGTTGAACCCAGGGGTGTCAGTAGCAGCCAGTTCCTGGCTCCGCTTGCAATCTGAAGGTTGTCCACTGAGTTGAATCACAAGGACCCTCTGTTCTGAACACCTGTCTGCCCCTGGCTTTCTGTGCCTTTATCCCTTGTCCCTCCTGCATCAGTCTGCCTGCATGCAGGTCAAGGAAGCACCTCACTCAACTTCTAGAGGGAATAAGAGCTTGTCGCAGTGGGATGTGAAGAGGACGGGGCAATAACACAGGATTAGGAGGGTAAATACGCCCTGCCGGGCCCCAGCTGTGACATCCGTCCCACCAGAGGCCCAGGCACGTAAAGAAGCCAACTTGTATACCTAGCCCCACCTGGCATCTTGCTGTGACCAGGAGCAACCGAGGCAAGAACCACCTAGCTCCAGCCAGGGAACCCACGTGACCATGAAAGATCATTGTTTTAAGGTACTTGAAAGAGTCAATAGTTTTAGGACCCTTAGAGAAAGACTGTCAAGTTGCCAAGTAAGTAACAGGCTCACAAATGTCAGAAATTTGCATCTGCTTGCTTCATACCTCTTGTATTGGCACAACAGATGTTAATCCAACACCTACCTTTCTGTGGATGAAGGGTTAGTAAAACATGTTCTTGTTTCAAGATGGAGCATTACAAATCCAACTACCCTTGTGCCCCAGATCCATCACTCCTTGTTAGGAAATGGAGGACACAAAACCTAAGAAGCATCTGACCAATAAGCAAAGGGCATAGCAACTCCGGCAGCATCAAGGCTCGGTCTCCAGGTCTGAGTTTTTATAACTAGGTGATTGAAAGTTTGAAACCAAAAATGGCAAAAAGCCACAAGGAAACCCGATCCAGAGCTCACCAAGATAAGGACAGGCCCAGATTCCAGCAGGTTCTGTATTCTATTCCCGGCTTGGATGTAGACACTGCTGTGTGTCTGACTGTGAGGAAAACAGCCAATTCCATACATCAGCGTTATTGCTCTGGAAAAATTAAACCAACTGCACTTTTGGGAACATGTGGCCTTTCTAGGGTTGGCCAAAGAACCTCAAAAAAAAAAAAAAAAAAAAAAAAAAAAAAAAAAAAAAAAAAAAAAAAAAAAAACCAAAAAAACCCCAACCCTATCATACCATCTCTTTCTCTTTGATGCTGTGATTTAAAATTTTCACATTTCAACGACACACAAATGTTAGTACAAGCTGTAACCAGACTCAAGATTTTCCCCATCTGTTTGTTCACATGTGGCAATGGGAACTTCCACGTTCTTAGACCTGAGGAGCTTAAAAAGAGTCACCTAAGTTCCTAATTGCAGAGATCCTAGGATGTTTGGCCTTCCAAAAATATCAACAAAATAAACAATGGCAGGCGACTTGGAAATGGACTGCTTAAACCCTCTGCTCTCTGGAGGAAAGGGAATCCACTGTCAATGGGGACAGTAACTGGCATCAAGAATTTCTTCCCATGCTGAGTACTTGATGTCCACTGGCTTATTCAATACTCATGTTTCACATGAAATTGACATTCAGAGCAGGTGACCAGCCAGAACCACAGATCTGCTAAATGGCAGGGATGCCTGGTTCTGGGGTCCATACTTCCCCCTGCAGTTCCAAGCACCTGAACACACTGCTGTGCACTCATTCCTTAGTGCAGGAGTTGGGAAGGACGGGGACACTCTGTCCAGAGACAACTGCCCATGAAGAACAATGGTCTGAAGGAAGGGGCAGGGCAGGGGGTACGGAGCGGGACCTGAGGGGCGGGCTGGGCAAGGCTGGCATCGGTTCATTTCCATGCCAGGAACGTCCTGCCTGCCCTCACGAGGGGACTGAGCCGGTCAATGGGCAACAGTGAGAGACTCTCTTCAAAATCCCACTGCAAATCAAATCACGAAACCTGAAATCTGGACACCAAGCTGGACCGTCGTGTCCTTAACTGTATTTGATCTTTGTCGGTATTCAGGCCCGAATAAATACAATATGTGACATGTGCCCTTGATATAAAAACCGTAACTTTTCAATTTCCTGTGAGCCTTGATGTTCTACATAAAGGAGAGGATGAAGTTGCTTGGGGGTCGGATGAGGAAGAAAAGTGGAAAAGCAGAAGCTGGGGTTGGTGGCGGAGGTGCTGTTGAAGGCCACTTGGTGCAGCATGAGGACACCCCAGCAGCCCCAGAGAGTGGAAATGCAAGTCTTCCCTTGGCCTTGACATGCTAGCACAGGGAACGTTCCCAGCCAGTCAGGCAGGAACCTGGTCTCGTCCCTGATTATTAAAGTGACCTGTGTACAGTGTAGGTAATTGTAGAAATTTAGAAAACACAGAGGAGCATAAAAAAAGAACAGGTAAAATCACTGCTTAACATCCGAGCTATTTCAATATTTCTCCTATGAGACATTGGATTCCGTCCATATTAAATGTTTTTTGAAAACAGGATTCATGGCCGAATTCTCTTCTGTTCTCCTACTGTTAGAAATTCATCATTTCCCAAATTTGTGCTGACTTTAAAGAATGTGATGTACGTCCTTGTACATCAATCTCTGCCTTCCCTGGCGATGTGCTTAGGATAAATTTCTAGGAGAACCATGGAGCTGACACATACGAACACTTCAAGTTCCGATCACTGACTGCCAAGTTGCTATCCAGTTACGCTCCCACCAAGGCTTCTGATGGGACCCTTAGGAGAGGCTGCAGCGCCCTTCTCGGGGGAGGCCCGAGCGCTGCTTGACGGCGTGGTCGGTGGGAGAGGCCACGCTTGCTTTGAGGGGCTGAACTTGTCGGCGTTCTCCATGCAGCAGAGGGCTCGTTCAGAGCGACTTTGCAGGGAGAAGGCTCGGTCTGTTTCCGTTTCTTAAAAGTGGCAAAATGTTGTTAATCCTAAGCACTAATGTGAAGATTATCAAAGGAGAAGACCTCAAAACGCTTCAGCCCATCCCCAGGCACAAGGGTGGGGAATCCTGTCTCCCCTGGAGTCTGGAGGAAGGTGGCTGCGGAACCGCGGCGGGATTGTCTGTCCGGGCCTGGAATGGCCTGGAGGACCCGGAGAATGAACCCTGTCGCTGCTCTGGGCTTCGCATGGTCAGCGGGCGCCTGGCCGCCCTCTCTCCCATGCATTTTGTCTGTCCCTCGGTCCTTGGATACCTGCTGTGCCCAGGACCTGTGCTGGATGCTGAGGGGGGTCTATGGGTTTGGCCTTGAGGTGTAAGTGCCCCGCCAGCGGGAGGAACGGCATGTGGACAACTTTATGAGTGGGGAGCCAGCCTGGGAAACCGGTGAGGGCTTCCCAGAGGAGGTGGCGTTGATGCTGCGCCTTGAGAAACAAGGGGAATTCGAACGAGGAAGGAAGTGGGGCGACCTGGGCAAAGGAAGGGACGCGGGGAACCACCTGGAGACTTCGCTCCACTCCCGGGCCTCTCCCTCCTCCGCCCCGCTCAGCACGAAGTCCGGGAAGTCAGATGCCTCATCTTTCAGTTCTGCAAATGCCAACGACACGCTGAGAAGAGCTGATCCCGAGTCCGCGCCCGTGAGACTCGACTGCTGAGAGCCTGTCCGCGGGGGCACGGAATGGAATGCGACACGTCCCAAGTCAGCCCCGGGGACACACGAGGTGGCAGCCCTTCCGAACCCTGCCCGACCCCACGGCGCGCCCGCTCTCGAACCCCTTCTCTCACCGGCCCCCACGCCGACGACCGCACGATAAACGAGGGGACACGGTGACGCCAGGGAGCAGCGCCGCCCTCTGGCCGGTGACTCCCGGCAGGGTCGAGCCGCGGCGTCGGCGACCACGACCGCGGCCACCTCGAGCTCTCCGTTAGCAGCTAGGCCTTCGCGCCGCCCGCTCCAGCGGGACTGGGCGCTCTGGCCCAGAGAGGCG